ACGTTGCAAAATATTGTAGCTTTTGTTCCATATATATTTATAATATTGCTATATCTTGTAATCAATGTTGAAAAATCAACATAAATTCCATGTAGAAAAAACATCCGCACTTCTATTTTCAATGCTGCAATGTTTCATTAACGTTTTTTCAACGTTCTGTGCTGTATGGAAATTGACAGATGCGATTGGTCAATTCCGGTGGAATAACCAGTCAGTTAAGTTAATCGAAGTTGGTAGAAACGAGCATGAATCAGAAGTTTTGGAAAAGTCTGGAATATATGGGAACGTAGTATAATATACAAATTTTGTTCAAGTGTTAATCGTGTAATAAAAGTATGTATTTAATAATTACGAAATCTGTGTTACGTATGTTTTTTGTGTAATACTGTGTGTGTATGTGTGTGTATTTTATCAGATAAAAATAATTCAGTCACGCACTTCTAAAAATAAACGTGCTGGAGTCAGTTGTAAATGGATTTAATAGCAACTGTACGTAAAGACATTTTTTTATGATAGCATTGTAAATGTAAAAATAAAAAGAAACTTTTGAAGGACGAACTACTGATAGACTTGTGTAGTTATATATTTTTTGGTACTAATACAATTGTAGAAACATATTTTGACTGGTTTATTTTTGGCTAATAAAAGATCTATATTTGATAGCTTATTTGCTTGTTTACTTTGATAGCTTACTTAGTTTAATTTGGTAGCTTATTTAATTGTTTATTTCTTAAATTTATATAAGTAATTATTCAGTTTACACACCACCTCCAATATCGATGAGAAAATACTCTGCACGAAAAAATAAATCGGCACGAAACAACTTTTCTAATCACTATTAAGGTTAGGAAAACTGTCACACCGACGACAAACAGCGACATGTATATGTTTCGTAACTATCCAGATAGAAAAATGTGTTTATTCTGAGCTCATGTTGTACTCATATATCTTCTAAATATGAGGACAAGAGTACACACTGATGCAGGCTCATATGTAGCTCAGATATAGTTCATGTCATGATGTCACAAAAATACCTCATTTAATAATAATAATCAACATCATGTCAAGAACTTTCAACATATCATATACATCATTTGTGCGCATCTCGTACTCATGTTATAAAATCATGTAATGAGTCTTCAAAAAAGTATCAAATTGAAGTCATAGTATAAAGTTACATTGTGATAAAACTTGATTATCACGCATTTCTATCTAGGTGGTTTAGAGTATATAATAAATAAATAATAAATAAATATTAAAGTAATAAAAGTAAAAAGAAGGAAATACTATTAGAAGTTAAATTCTTACTATATATTTTTTAATATGTACAAGAATGCAAAATATACCCACACAGTATAAATGTCCCAAATATGCCATAGGGATATCTTAAAGATATTGCATATCCTAAATATATTTTTAGAATATCCCTGTGATATATTTTGGACACCTTTGCTGTGTGAGTAGTTAATATTTTAACTTGATAACTTTAATAACATAAGTGGTTGACATCATGTGTTGTAATATGGTTCTTAGAGTTGCTAGAAGACAAGTTTTGAAGACCTATAAAGAAAAAATACATTAATTTTTATATAATGTTATATGTTTGAACCTTTATATGTTTAAAACTATTATTATTATAATTACCGATATTATTATTATTATAATTACTGATCAGGTAGCTTATGAAGCTTATATAATAAGTCATCTATAAAGTTTTCAAGTTTCTTTAATGAACGCTTTGATGAGCGTATAAGATGCCTTTATCCATTGCCCTGTCTTCTTGTTGCTTTCAGCAACAGTGAATATGTACTTCAGGATCTCCTTGACAACATACTGACAATGATACATATGAAAAAGTAAAATAACATATAAAAGATGTAATTAAAAAAATGTATAAAATATTTACAAATTGTCGATAAATAATCCATGCTTTCATATTTTTAAAGTATTTATTCTTTTTACTTTTAATTTTTCCTTTTTAAATTTTGTTGACATTCTTTTAGTTTTATTGTAAATATAATTATTTTTACTGCTATTATCCAATGTTCCATTTAATATTCCATTGACATATTTGCACCATTAGTTGCTAAATTGTTGTGCAGTTTCATTTATTAAAGAATCTTGTTGCACAATGTATTAACATTTTTACAAATGCTTCTGAATATAAAACACTCTTCAACTTCTCTTTGACTTTTACTTCATGGCAAAAATTAATTGCAATTTTGCAATTTGTAGTGCGTGTTGTATAATGTTCAAAGTATTTTTATTTTGAAGGCATTGTATACACTGTGTACATTTTATCTCAATTTTATCTATTATAATATCAATTATTTTTTCTGTATCGATAAATGTATCGGAAATTATTGGTAACGGTATTGAAGTTTCTGTACAATCAGTTTCTTCATTTTGTTCCTCACTCAATTTAATACTTGTAGCTATTGAAATAATTCTTCCGAGTGATAATGATTTGCCTTCATAATCTTCTTTGCAATTTGTAGAAATGGAATGCTTTGATGTAAAATTAATTGTTAAAAGTGTTTTAAATGCAGCACAAAATTGGTAAGGAGACGGGTTATTATTTCTATGTCCGTGATCTTGTATTTGATTACAATAATTTTTGATTGGATCTTGATTGATGTATCGTAAATTTAATGAAGAAAAATCATATTTTTAAAGAATATTTCAAAGATATTTGGCTTCCTTTATAGAAATATCATACTAAGAATCATTGATAATTACTTATTATCCAGTATTTTTAATACTGAAAATAAGTAATTATCAATGATTCTTAGTATGATATTTCTATAAGGGTTGAATAGTCCATATCCAATTTACAAGACACTTTGACTTATGCCGAATGAATCTTTGAGTTTTGTTTTCCACAAAGTCCATTTTACGTAGTGTGCGAACAGCGTTTTGCCAAAATGATTAATGATTATTTGATGAAGTAATCATATTGGAATATATTTTAACTTTTTTTCTATTGAAGGAGTCAAATAAATTATTGAAAAATAAAATGACTTCTGACGTTATCACAGTACTAGGTGGATATGGAAAAATACATTTAAATACTTAAACAGTTGTATACGTCAATTTTAATAAACATAATTACCATAATTTTTTAATTATTGCATTTTATCTTTATTTAACGTCAGTATAACGTTCATGAAATTTGCTACTGTGTGGCTCAATACTTGTGTAGAATATCTTACTTTCATCATATATAAACAGTGTGTGATCCAATGAAAACATTTTTATACATAATTATGTAAAATTATGTATAATTTTATATTATTATATATAATTATGTATGAAATATAATTTGTCCATACATGTTAATATATGTTACTTATATATAATCATGTATAATTATCCCACACAGAACAAAACCTCCATTAGACATCCATAGATCATCCATAGCTCCACCAGATATCTATCTCCACAGTGAACAACAAGTGAATCTCTAATAAACACCCACAATTCATCGATGATGGATATCCATATAACATCCATTATGGACGTCCATTGTACATCTACTATGGATGTGCAATAGATTTTCATGTTTAATTTTTTTTAAATTTCAGTACGATCTCTATTACATTATAGCTTTCCAAGTAAAATATAAGAATCAAAATGATATTAATTTGATGTCATTTTGACTAAATATTGAACAAATTTATGTCAAGTATCAGCCAAAAGAATATCAAATTAATATTATTTTTATTTAGGCTATTATATTTTATTTAGGCTATTCCTAACAATATAAAAGATGATTGTAATTAAAATACACATTAAAGAAAGTGAAAACTTATTTATTTTTATTGCAACATCGACATAAAATAGATCCCTCATATCACCAAACATTGCAGTAAGTTTATGGGTAGGTTACAAGCTTACACATTTTAATGAACATGTTACTGTAATCTGCCATTAACCTTACAAAATGAGCTTATATTATAATATTGTCATAAAGTTAATATAATCTTCAATATTTCAGCAAACTTATGTGTAATTATTTCACTTTTTGTGTATCCTGAAAATATTACACAATTGTTTATTAATAATCACTTGATTGTATATACAAATTTTTTTATATACACAAAATTTTTTTATTAAGAAAGTAAATATAACTAAATTAAATTAAAATATTATTGATAAAGTTAATTCTAAGTAATATTCACTACATGCTTCAAATGCTTTGAAGAATTGTAGAGACTAATAGTCATCTTTCAGTCAGTGCTCTAAAGCGCTTCTAGTGTCAATATCTATAATAATAGATAAACATATTTTACATAAAAATTTTATGCATATATCTCTGACTTTTCTTTTATTATATGAAATATTTGGACTAAATAGTTTATTTTTGTTGTTGTACTATAATAATAATATTATAAAAAAATTATAATTACTGTTTCGGCTGCATATGGGGATAATACAAAACACTTAGTATTAGTTGAAAAAGTAGCACAGCTGCCAAGATGATAGACTAGAAACCTAGAAGTATCTGAAGTTCTCGAGTTCGTGTCCTACCAATTATTCCAGTATGGAATAAATTTTCAGATGTAAAAATAGTGAGAAATTAAATAGAAGAGCTAAATTTCACTTAAAATCAACATAAACTAATTATTTGAAGATATATACATTATTTTGTTATTAATTGCTCGTTAATATAATGTTCCGTACAAGATTTCTGTAATGTTAATGGAATGAATATGGACGAATATTTTCATGTTATTGGAAAGTTAATAGCAGGTTTATTAACCTCCGTGTAATGTTACTATTTTAGAAGTTAAGGTTGCTATAACCTTATAGCAATATTAATGTGCTGTGAGGGAACCTTTTAATATTAAGACAATTTTAAAACTAACCGTATATAATAAATTCATATGACTTCTATTAGTCATCTATTTAAGTTC